TCAACTCTCTCTTTCTGATGTTAAGTATAAGTGTCTTTTTTTGATTTCCATTTTCTCTAAAACTTTGTCATTGCTCACATGTTCAATCCATGGTATTTTCAGTATCCTTCTGTAGAACCACAGTTCTCTTGCTTCAAGTCTCTTCTTCATCTGTGAGAAAATTGTCCAGCATTCAATACCATATAGGAAGACCTATATTACATAACAGTTCAGAACACTTCTCTTTATTTCTAATGAAACTTTCTTCTTTTCTGAGGACATAAAAAAGTTTCATAGACATAAATTGTTATTGGGTGATCAGAAATTTTGAATATAGTAGAGCCTGGTCTCGATTAAATTTATAGAATGTCTTTTCAATCGTTATTATCTGTCTTCTTTTGTTCTTTTCTTGTTCTCTCTCTTTAATAATGTCTCTCCCAGATCTTTTCCTTCAGTCTTCCAAAGTGTATACACTGAACAAAATTTATTTTATGTTTTTACATTTGAACCAGGAAATCAAATTTATTTTTTTTATGCTTTTTTACACCTTTTTTTCTCATTTCTCTCTGTCCAAGGCAATCCTTTCAAGTATCAGAAGTAGCAATCATTCCAGTGTCCTCTCTGATTTGGTCGTCTCACCTCTTAGATGGTCTGCTACATGATCTTTTTGCTAGGGAAGTCGTCCTTGTCTGATCTATACACAAAGCCTCGTTCTCCTCTTCTGATTACATAGACAAACCAGTTTAACATCATGGTAATTATATATCAGTCTTTACATCAAGCTTTTTCATTAGGGTAACCATTTTGATCATGTCTCTGATATTTTCCCCACCCAGCTCTTGGCGGCAATTGATTCCAAAGGCTTCAGAACTTTTGATTTCCCAAGAGGAAGGGGAATGATTGCAAAAGTTGTCCCCCTCTCCCGCTTATAGTCAGAAATGTGCATAAAATGCATGCTGGGATATTTTTCTTAGCCAATCAAATGGGATGTCTTGCATTTTGAAATGACTCAGTCCAGATCTGCTTTAACTAATAGACAGACATACTGAATTCACTTGTCGGACCTTATTTTTGTGTACAAACACCAACTCATAGTTTGTGGATTCTTCTGTCTTCTTACCTGTTTTGTTTGCTTTAACTATATTGGGTTCTTGCTTGCAGGATTGTTGTTGCTTCATCTTTTTTTTACCCTTTTTTCTTTTCAGTGCAAACTTTATTAATTCTGTTAGTGTTATTTATCTCGCACTTTAACAATAGCTTCTAAGTCATCAGAATTAGGGATGTCCGCTTTTTTTGCTAAAAAAAATGCATACCCTGATGAAAAAAAGGCCCAAACTTGATTAAAAGAATTTTGTATTGTCTAAATGATTATGTCATTATTAAGAGGAAAGACCAAAGTATTTTTTGAGTATTTTTAAAATTTTTTATTCCTTTCTAGCATGTAAAAAATTTTAGCTAAAAATCTTGTTTTTTTGAATCATCAAAATTGACATAAAATCAATCATGTCAGCCATTATTGACAGTTTTATAAACAAAAGTAAAATTTCCCATTTAAAAATCTTGTAAAATTCAATTATACTTTTTTCAAAAGTTATTTTAGGAAAATTAGAAAATTTAAAGTATACTTAATGTAATTTCAAAGAAACATTACTTACTTTTTTATCAGAAAGATTTTTAAAAAGACATTTTCAACTGTGGTGCTTTGTTTCTTGGGCCTGACTGAGGGGTGTTAACTGATGTACGTAAATCTGTCAACAACTAATGTCAGGGGAATTTATTGGACGGTAGGGCAAAAGTGATATGAATCGTTCTAGTTTTAAGTGAACCTGGTTATTAGATTTATGTTCTCCAATGAATTTCCAGAGTCTGACCATGTCTGGTTTCTACCTTCAAGAATATGATGTTAGGTCAAGAAATTAAAGGGAGGTAATTCAATGTTTATTATGTAAAAATTGTTTAGAGCAAAATCAGTCAATAATGATATCTGTTTTTGCTTGCTACAGAAATACAGAATAATGACAGTGTTTTAATGTGACAATGTTGGCATGTCCCTTTTAAAAGTTGCAATATGACAATATCAAAGACAAGTATTTTTTTATAAAATGGGATGGCTTGCACTTTGACATGACTTCACTACTAGACAGATCTACTGCATTCACTTGTCTGACCATGCTTTTGTGTACAAACACAAACTCATTGTTTGTGAATTTTACCTGTTTGATTTGCTTTAACTATATTGTGTTCTTGCTTGCATGATTGTTGCTGTTTCATCTTTTTTTACCCTTTTTTCTTTTCATTGTAAACTTTATTAATTCTGTTTGTATTATTAATCTTGCATTTTGACAATGGCTTCTAACTCATCATGGTAGCAGAGCATAGTCTCAATCTACTGACCTCTGCTACTATCATGAGTTAGAAGCCATTGTCAGAATGTTCTCTTTTCTCCATGTCCAGGTTTTAAAGGCATAAATTACTATGGGAATATTCAGTACATAGTAGAGCCTCGTCTTGATGTAATATGGAATATCTTTTCTCTCCCAAATTATTTCCTTCAATTTTCCAAAAGTAGTTGAGTCAATTGTTATTCTTAAGATGTTGCAAGAGCAATTGATTCTAGAAAGTTGAACTTTTCAACAGAGCATGAATTTTAGGGCATGCAGGTTGCAGGTATGGTTTGGTTTGGTTTGGTTTGGTTTGTTTTATGGCATATCAACCTCAATAGATCATTTAATGCCAACAACTTTTTTTTTTTTTGCTGGTAATATTTTTGTCTTGTCAAAAATCTGTTTCTGTTAATATTTTTAAAAAAATGTATAGCTAGTAATATTATTTTTTCAAAAACGTATAGCTGGTAATATTATTTTTCCAAAAATGTACAGCTGGTAATATTTTTCCAAAAACGTATTGCTGGTAATATTTTTCTCTTTCCTCAAAAATTCATTTCTGGTAATAATTTTTTACAAAGTATTTCTGGTATTAAAACCTATTTTTGCCTTTTACATCAGTTTCTGGGTTAACTATTTGCCTATATCTGGGACCCCTAACAGGTGCTACCACCCTGAGTCAGGGTGGACCTGAGAACACCAGCATTTAAGAGGAGGTTCCATGCTCCTCAAAGACTCCTGAGGCCTTGCTGTTGGACGTAGTTTATCGTCTTACCCTGAACACATATGTAGTTATCATCATACCCAGGAAACAGATGTAGTTTGAGTTTTGGGGTTAACTATTTACCCATAGTTGGAACCCTAACAGGTGCTACCACGCCAGGTCAGGGCAGACCTGGGAACATCAGCAATTAAGAGGTGGTTCCACATTCCTCAAAGCCTCCTGATCAGAGGCATTGCTGTTGGATGTAGTTTATCACCTTACCCATGGACGCGGATGTAGTTTATTGTCATACCCAGGTATGTACATCAGGGAATTGAATACCCTTGCCGTATATGGTTCACCTGCCTCTTGGAATAAATGAATATGGCAGAATGGTAATGGTATTGGTGAGAATAGCCGTTTCCATACAGGAAACATTCAACATTCATTGACCAAATAGTTTGCATTACTGTTGGTTGACATTTATAAAATTTTTCTCTTAAATAATTTTTTCCAAAAAATAGTCTTCTGAAGTCCAATGTTTGTTTTTTTTAATCGTGTTCACCCTAAGAAAGGCAATAAAGCCACTGAGATGCCAGGGGTTACTAAGTGTGGAAGAGTTAGAAACCAACATTACTAAGTAGCGAGAACAATATAAGAGTAATCAGGAGGACAGTAGATAGTGATTGACATTTGTCGGAGTTAGCTCATCCTTAATTTCCAAATTGTCACTAGGGGTCTCTCTTCCCATACTATAGATATTGGGTAACTTCTTGCCTTGATCTGTTTTTCCCTTGTGCCACATCCCACCTTGCGTGAAGGTGAGGTAATTCTTTCTCTTCTTTCTACATTTCAGCAAACACCACTACTATGTGAGCTCTCACAAAAGAGCGTTTCCCATTTCTGGGAAGACACTAGGAACATTACAAACATACACGTACATACGATCATTCACCAAAGAACAAACACAAATGTTCACACACACACACACACACACACACACAAATGTTAACTGTCTATGTGCTTTGTAATTTGTTGTTAATACATATATTTGTTTATATATATATATCGGTCTTGTTTGTCTTCTTTATCTTCAGTTGAACTTAATCCAAGTCCAATATTCTCTTGTAACTGCACCTTCTTCTATCAGGAAATTTAAACACACATGTTTTCTTTTCATCTTCATAGGTCCACTACATATTGCATTTATATTTTGGCAGATTAAAGTTGGTTGGAAAGCATGGAGGTCGAAAGGGCTTCCATAAGCGAGAAGTGAGAGAAAAGAAACTGTTAGCATAGGACTTACGGTTACATCTAGCCAGCTTAACTGTAAATTGGTGAGACCTAGTTGCCAATCTAGTACTGCACTTAAATTCAAAGAGTCTAGGCACCATAGTGAAGAGCTTATCTGAACAATTACCATGAAAATATTTATAGAAACGGCAAAAAGAGACAACTTTATGGCAGTGGAAGCCTGACTGATGCCAAGATACAAGATCAGGACAAATAATATTGCTGATTCATTTTGTGGATTCTATCAAGGATTTCTAGGTATAAAATTGGAGCTCTGAGCCATATGTGGCAGCCTTGTTAAAAATGACAAAGTGGGAGACTTGTTCAAAAGAGAGAGAGAGGTTTATTAAAAAGAGAGAGAGAGAGACTTTTTAAAATTAAAGTGAAAGAGACTTATAAAAAAGAAACAGATTTGTAAAAAGGAGGAAGAAAGAAACTTGATAAAAAGAGAAAGAGAGAGAGAGATTTATTCAAAAGAGAAAGACTTTTAAAAAGTGAAAGAGAAAAACTTGTTGAAATGAGATAGTAAAACTTCTTAAAAATCTGGTTAAAAACAGGAAAGAGAAACTTATTTTAAAGAGAAAGCAAGAGATTTGTCAAAAATAGAGAGACACCTGTTAAAATGAGAAAAATAAAGTGATTCAAAAGAGAGAGGGAAAGAGAGAGAGAGACTTGTTAAAATGAGAAAGATAGACCAATTCAAAAGAGAGAGGGAAAGAGAGGGAGAGACTTGTTAAAATGAGAAAGATAAACCCATTCAAAAGAGAGAGGGAAAGAGAGGGAGAGACTTGTTAAAATGAGAAAGATAAATTGATTCAATAGAGAGAGGGAAAGAGAGAAAGAGAGTGGTTGAAAGCTAAATCTATATAGAATAATAAAATTTCTTTATTTCAGAACCTTGAAAGATTTAAAGATGCCAACTAATACAAAGAAATGACCTGAGCAAGTATTTGCTTACATTATTGAAAAAGTCTAATGTTTGAGGTGAAACCTTTTGTTTGCAAAAGACGAATAATTCTAATTTTACACCCACACATGTTTGATGTTTGACAATTATGAACACGAAAAAGCCCGGTGGCCAGCAGAAGCATTGCAGCTTGTTGTCGACATCTTATTACATGACATTTCCTTCTCACTTCTGTGGGCTGCCAAAGTCTTTTATTATTAATTCAAAGGACTTTCTAAACGGACGCATCATTTGGCCATCTTCTCACCCAATACTTGGCAACTATGTGAAAGTCTTTCCTTTTTATATTTTTTCTTTTATATCTTTGTAAGCAAGGTCACTTGGCACTGCCTGGGATAATATAACCTTTGCCCATCCTACACAGTGGATGTTTTGTGACTCAACAAACACTCATTGCCACTTTTGTGATGTCAATGAATACTCATTGTCACTTTCATAATGCTCGTTGTAGTAGAGACTTTGTAATCGCTGATACAACTATAGTACACCATTGAACAATGCTGATGTCGGAGGACTTTGAATAATCTTGCACTAATAGTACTTGCTCAATAATACTCACTCAAATAGTGATCCGAATAGATGAATAGTATAGTAAATAGAGTAGAGAATAAAAGTCTGTATAGTAATAGAAGATAGACTAGAAATAGTGATCTATATAGTAATTGAGGATAGACTAGAAATAGCGGTCCGTATAGCAATAAAGGATAGCCTAGAAATAATGATCCATATAGTAATAGAGGATAGACTAGAAATAGTGATCCATATAGTAATAGAGGATAGACTAGAAATATTGATCCTTATAGAATAGAGGATAGACTAGATATAGTGATCCATATAGTAATAGAAGATAGAATAGGAATCATGATCATTAGTCATCAGCTACTTCTTACATATATGTGTTTCTTGTCCTGTCACATGGTCTACTTAATTCAATTATGGGATCGCCTGTATTCTCACACTGGCGATCTATGTTCAAACTTAAGTGTCAGCAGTGACACTTTATTCCTATATAACAAAATAACACACTAATATTTTATTTTTCAAATAAATTTCCTTTGTCTGTTTCAGTTTTATGCAGCTAACCTGATTATGCTGACTGCATCCCCCCCCTACAGAGGGGGTTAGACACCCTCAGAAAGATACCACTTTGTGAGTTTATACTTACAGAATCAGGTGTAAACCAGACCTGTGCCTACCTTTTGGACTCTTGTTAACCAGAACTATGTATACTTTTCTGACCCTAGTGTAAACAAGTCATATGTCTAGCTTTTTTTGTCAGATGGAACTATGGCTACCTATTTGAAAAGTGTAAACCTGACCTATGTTTAATTACCCACCTTCCTGAAAGGTGCCACCTTCTGGGTGTATACTTGCAGAATCAGGTGTAAATCAGACAAATATTTACCTATGAAACTATGTTGGACTTTTTTTTTACTTGATGGTCAACTGGACTTAAAGTCAAACAAGAGCGACATAATTCCAGTTGAGCATAGGTCATTCCTTTTGAATCTATGGTCAACTGGGCTGATTGCCCTCTTTTTGAATCTATGGTCAGCTGGACCTATGTACAGCTTTTGACTTTTGTGTTAACTGTAACTGGACATATGTCTACTTATCTTTTATTCTATTGTGATATATAATTCACATTAAATAATGCAAAAAGTGTTGATATGCCATCAAATTAGCCAATCTAATCAAACCTAACCTGACCACTCCTAATTATTGGCTCATTCACCCCAACAAATAACCCATTTAAACAAGATGTCACTTTATGTCGAGTTTGTCATTCTTTCACAAGATGGCAGCATCTTGGGCAAAGAAAATTTGATATGTATGCTGAGGCTGTGACAAGTAGTGTATATTTGTACAACTTCCTGCATTGTATGTGTAGCCATCTTTTTAGATATTTCATCTACTTTTATGTAGTTTGTCCCTTCAGAATGTTTGCATTTATGGCTCTCCACAACTTCCTTTCCTTTGTGGTTCTTAATAAATTTTGTCTTTTTGTTATCACTCTAAAATCTTATTCTGCCATCAATATGCAAAAACTTGTTATGTAAGTTATGCGTTGTTTTCCTCTGCCCCACTTGTCTTCAATATGTCATGTGAGTATCAAATTTTGTGAGTCCTCTTTCCTCATTATGTACTCTAGAAATTTCAGTTCCCTCTTCTTGATATTAAGTCTATGTCCATTTTTTTTCCATTTTCTATAAAACTCATTGTTCACATGTTACATGTTGATAATCTCAACATCCTTCTGTAGAACCACATTTCTGTTGCTTCAAGTCTCCTTTCAGGGGATTGTTCAGTATTCACTTCCATATAGGAGGACTGATATTATATAACAGTTCAGTACTCCTTTCTTTGTTTCTGTTGCTTGTTTTTCATCTGTGAGGAGATTGTCCAGCATTCACTTCCATATACAAGGACTGATATTATATAACAATTCAGTGCTCTTTTCTTTGTTTCTAATCAATTTTTTCTGTTTTTTAATACTTTGCTTAATTATTCCAATTATTAAAATATTTTAACACATTTTTTCACTTATCATATTCATTAGCTATTAACTTCTATTTATTAGGTTAATTAGTATGAAAATAAAATCATTTTAAACATGTAATGATGACTTTGTATTTTTTAAATTTTTATGTGAAAAACTGCTACAACTGATGTAATATTAAATCTGTTTGGTAGTGAATAAGTTAAAAAATGATTTTTATACTTGAGCTAGACCAGATATATTTTCTGATGAAATACTCTTCTATTCAAAAGTTCAAATATACAACCTTTACATCTATTCATATCTGCACATTCAGTGCAGAAGCTATATGCATTAAGTAGATGTAGCTTATTAATTACTTATTCAAAACTTTGTAAATATATACAATAGTTTTACTGATGAAAGTACATACAGCAAATTTTCCAAAATTAGTAATCAGTATTTAATAAGACCAGAAGCAGAAGTATTAATTAAAATATGCACAACATGGCGGAACTGATTTAGCTACAAAGACGCAGGAAAATGGAATAAGTGGATTGGACTGAGAGAAGATGCTTGATGCATTTGACGTCAGCAATCTTAATAAGCCAATTTTCTTTTCTGGCATTTTGCATGGCATTTGTCATTCATTTTCTGGTCAGTGCAATGCAATATGTAAATATCAAATATAACAATTTGCAATCATAAAGCATAAAAAATCTTAAAGTATAATGACTGGAAAAATAACTTTAGCTCAAGGTCAAATTACTTTCTTTTGGGAGAATTGCTATTATAACAATTGGCAAATAAAGAAATAGGAGGAGACTACTGTGTAATTACTCAAACTTTGAATCTATTTAAAATTTAAAGTTAGCTTTATTTGTACTTTGACTAATCTTTAATCAGCAGGAGTCTAGTATTAATTTTTATTTTTAAATATGTTGTAACCTAAGGAAGTTTACTGAATAGAATAATCAAAAAAAGGTTGCTAATTAATAATACTTAGGACACAGACACGTAAAAAGATTTACCAGTGGCACGTAGAAGAATTATTCAACTGCTAGAAGTGAGTCAAGTGAATTCCACAATGAATCTCCAACTGCAGGATATCTACCAACTACCCCATGCAGTCATATGTGGCACAAGGCCAAATTTAATGTGGGGTATCCAAGTCCGTAGGCTCATCCAAAAATTCCCCATAGACTTCATATAAAACAGGGTCAGGTAGCCGTTTCCCTAGATGGGACTCTGACCTTCGACATAGCCTCTTCTGGGGATCCTCTCTGTCTGGAGGCAGAGAGTTTGACCAGCACAGCTGGAGACGAATCTCTAACTGCAAACCAACATACAGTATTTACTACTGTATTTATGTGAATGGGGAACATACCCATTATTGTCTGTAGGTATGCTATGACAAAATATGTGCTTCCAATTTAGAAAAATTGATTTTTGTAATAAAAAGTAAAAATTGTTTACATTGTTTGGTCTGTTGTCCTCATCTTTATTGCCATATTGATGACAATTCTGCTGTTGTACACTCTGGCCTTTTATCAGTTGACTGGAATTAGAAGAAGACCATAACATACAATGACCAAAACGTCATGAATATGGCAACAAAGATGAGGACAACAGGCCAAACAATGTAAATAATGTAAATAATTAGAATACCTCATCTCAGAAATATAGACAGATATTGTAGGAGTGAATATGGCAATAAAGATGAGGACAACAGGCTAAATAATGTAAATAACTACAATACCTTATCTCAGAAATATAGACAGAAAAAGTAAAAATGTCCATTATGGAAGAAGAAAAAGAAATGTAAACATTGATAGCTTTTCTATGAAATGATGTTTATTTTTGATGATATGTTTCTTTTGAACTAAACTCTTTAATCTGTTGTAATGTATGGCAAGAGTTTGTTGAATTTGGGGGAAACACCTAACCAATTGCTCTTTCAGCAACTACAGGTTTATTAGAGAAGGGAAAGAGATGGGAGGTAAAAAATAAGACTGCTTTGGAGCAACTTTAGAAACAAAATGCTCATGGGACCGACTTCACAAGACACCATCTCTTGCTTATTGCTGGTTTTCTTGTTGAATTTATTGACATGAGGCACCTTACAAAGACCTAGATCTTGACCAACTGTATAGAGGCCCGTATCTAGACATGCCAAGTTTTGCCACTGCTAACAGGGAAAACTCAGATGTAAATGGTGTTGACAAACATGTCTGCATGTTTGTGATTTGATAAGAAAAACTGAATCAGTTCAAAAACTTGTCCAGAAATACCATAACATTTCAACTTGGGTAGAAGACCAGTATGCTAAACACTGCCAAAT